AAATTTCACCTCTCTTGGAATCCGGGGATCACCTTTTCCAAGAATTCCTCAAGGGCCGGCATTCCTTCTCACCTTTCCAGGAACAAGAGGATCTACCCTATAAGGGAACTCCTGGGGAAACCCGAGCATGGCTGCCCCACAGCTGATCCTCTTGTGCATCTGGCTCTCAAAAAATCAACTCTTCTCTCTCTCCCTGCGTGTTTATTCCTGGATAGGAGACAAACCATGCCTTCTGGCACTGGGATAAACGTAAACTTAATAAACAATAAATTTCTCTTATTGGTGTGCAATAGCATTGGCCACCTAAAATAACAGTACGTTCAAAAATACAGTTCATAATTAAAACGACCCTTTTATTTCCAATGGTAAATTAATTTCTCTTGGGCTGCTGGCTGTGAGGGTCAAACTCAAAGAAATCTTTTCCCAGTTCAGTGTACACAAATAGAAAATGTATAGATTTAAACAACTAAATCTAGAATTTACATGGATTCTCACCAAACAGATCTGCATATGTGAAATTAGGTCATTCCTCCTCCTGAAGCTTTTCCCATGCTCGACACATTTATATGGTTTCTCCCATGTAGATCCTTTTATGGGAAAAAGAGAACTATTTCTGGTGAAGCTTTTTCCACACTCCATGCATTCCTAAGGTTTCTCCCCCATCTGGATCCTTTTATGACTCATAAGGGATGTATTTCAAGAAAAGCTCTTTCCACACTCCATGCACTTATATGGCTTCTCCCCTGTGTGAATCCTTTTATGGGGAACAAGGTGATTCCTTATTCTGAAGCTCTTTCCTCACTCCATGCATTTATACATTTTCTCCCCTGTGTGGATCCTGTTATGGGAATTCAGATTTTCCTTCTGAGCAAAGCTCTTTCCGCACTCCATGCATTTATATGGCTTTTCCCCTGTGTGGATCCTTTTATGGGAAGTAAGTTGACTGCTTCTTCTGAAGCTCTTTCCACACTCCAAGCATTTATATGGCTTCTCCCCCGTGTGGATCCCTTTATGGGAAGTAAGTTGACTGCTTCTTCTGAAGCTCTTTCCACACTCCATGCACTTATATGGCTTCTCCCCTGTGTGGGTCCTTTTATGGGCAATAAGGTGACTGCTGCTTCTGAAGCTCTTTCCACACTCCAAGCATTCATGTGGTTTCTCCCCTGTATGGATCCTTTTATGGGAAGTAAGTTCACTCCTAGAAGTAAAGCTCTTTCCACACTCTAGGCACTTATATGGTTTCTCCCCTGTGTGGATCCTTTTATGGGAAGTAAGTTGATTGCTTGTCCTGAAGCTCTTTCCACACTCCAGGCACTTATATGGTTTCTCCCCTGTGTGGATCCTTTTATGGGAAGTAAGTTGATTGCTTGTCCTGAAGCTCTTTCCACACTCCAGGCACTTATATGGTTTCTCCCCTGTGTGGATCCTTTTATGGGAAGTAAGTTGATTGCTTGTCCTGAAGCTCTTTCCACACTCCAGGCACTTATATGGCTTCTCCCCTGTGTGGATCCTGTTATGACATATAAGGGATGTATTTTGAGAGAAGCTCTTTCCACACTCCATGCACTTATATGGCTTCTCCCCTGTATGGGTCCTTTTATGAGAAATAAGTTCACTCCTAGTAGTAAAGCTCTTTCCACACTCCATGCACTTATATGACTTCTCCCCTGTGTGGATCCTTTTATGATGGGAAGTAAGATGACTGTTTTCACTAAAAGCCTTTCCACACTCCATGCATTTATATGGTTTCTCCCTTGTGTGGATCCTTTTATGGGAACTAAGTTCACTCCTAGAAGTAAAGCTCTTTCCACACTCTGTGCATTTAAAGGGTTTCTCCCCTGTGTGGATCCTGTTATGGGAAGTAAGTTCACTCCTAGTACGAAAGCTCTTTCCACACTCCAGGCACTTATATGGCTTCTCCCCTGTGTGGGTCCTTTTATGACTCATAAGGGATGTACTTTGAGAAAAGCTCTTTCCACACTCCATGCAATTATATGGCTTCTCCCCTGTGTGAATCCTTTTATGGGCAATAAGGTGATTCCTCATTCTAAAGCTCTTTCCACACTCCATACATTCATGTGGTTTCTCCCCTGTATGGATCCTTTTATGGGAAGTAAGTTCACTCCTAGTAGTAAAGCTCTTTCCACACTCCATACATTCATGTGGTTTCTCCCCTGTATGGATCCTTTTATGGGAAGTAAGTTCACTCCTAGTAGTAAAGCTCTTTCCACACTCCATACATTCATGTGGTTTCTCCCCTGTATGGATCCTTTTATGGGAAGTAAGTTCACTCCTAGTAGTAAAGCTCTTTCCACACTCCAGGCACTTATATGGCTTTTCCCCTGTGTGGGTCCTTTTATGTCTCATAAGCGATGTATTTTGAGAGAAGCTCTTTCCACACTCCAGGCACTTATATGGTTTCTCCCCTGTGTGGATCCTGTTATGATACATAAGGGATGTATTTTGAGAGAAGCTCTTTCCACACTCCATGCACTTATATG